TTTGCCTGTAGTCAATTTTCTGCAAAAATAAATTCCAGTGAAAATGCAGATTTCTCTATACGTTGCATTGAGTCTTAATACAACATAGTGAAAATTAGATCCACACAATGCCAGAAAGCTGTTTTCAGCGAAAATAAATTCCAGAGAAAGTATTTTACAGTAGTCAGCAATATTGCAAGCAACTTTTCTAACAATGTTTCTGTTTTAGTCTGTAAATGTATTTAAACTAAAACAGCTAAATTGTTAGAGATATTGCATGCAATACCGTATTTGCTCTATTAGTATCGCATGCTCTTATGTAAATAACAGAGGTGTTTCTATGGTCAAAATACATCATATTTTAATAAATCAGTATACAATCAATGCAATTGTTGCCGTACATGTGCTTCTATTGGAGATGCTCTTCTAATAGAGCATATATGGTATACAATCTAAATGCAACCAGAGTGAAATTGTTTTTGAAATTAATATTGAAATGCAAATATTAATTTTCCCTCTGCTATTTATTAATCCACAAACCAGAATTATTGACATCCATTTATATATGACCTAGTTTCTTCTTGTACTCTGTGTCCTTATCTTGGCAGGAAGAATTGCCATATTTTTCCCTAAGTCATATAGTGACAAATATTTTTTTTTTACACTGGTGAAGCAGCAATTTTTTTTTTTGAAGAACCCTTCACTTTGCAAATTTTTTTTTTTCGTTTCTGACCTCCCCTCCCCTCCCCTCCCCTCAAAAATCAAATGGTCCAACCCTTATTTGTTTCTATTGGAGATGGGCTTCTAATGGAAGATGTATTTTCCATGTGAGAACAAAATTACATGTCCATGTTTTCTTTCTGTCTTAAATGCCCCAGTGAAATGTTCAGTGGTAAACAATTTTGTCTGATTGACAAAATTCATGAATATTAGTTTTGCAAAATTAAGCAGTACCGGTATATAGTATTTTTGCAAGATTTGACCTATTCAAAAGCAAATTTATTTCAACAAAAATCCCCAAATTTAACTGAATTGTTAAAATCTCATCGTGGTTATTTTATATACCCCCACCCCACCCACATATTAGATTCAGAGAAGGGTCTCAACGTGATACATTATCTTGCCATAGCCCTTTTTCAACCAATATGGTACTTTTGGGGAATTCATTATTGTTTAAACGAGTGTAGAATTAGAGATGTCAAAGTGAACAGAAAAGATGAAGGATTGACTGAGTAGGTTATGAATATACAATAGCCTAGGAGTTCCGAATCAAAGAAGACAGTCCAGCCTACCCCAGCGTACCATGTATAGGGCCACAGCGGCTTCTGCATTCTGAAGCCAAGATTGACCAATCACAAGGAGATTAGGTGATGATGCAACAGCAGATGATCCAATCACAAATAATCCATGTCCATCAGTCTGATGCCCAGTTAAATTAAATGATTTATAAGATCTAGAAAATATTAAATATTAAAATTAAAATATACACTTGAATATTGTGTTATAATTGCAGTAAATATCAGGTATCTGCCTAACTTACTCCATGTAAGCAGTTGTTGGCAAATTATACCAAGTCTTGGTGTAATGCTACACTAATTTATTTCTGTTTTTGACTACACTCAACCTTTGATACTTTGTATCACAAATGTTGCTTTCTTACCTTCCATTACTGTTATTATAGAGCACCACCATCATCCTGTCCAATGGCACAAACTTGTATGCACTGCTTAACTCAATAAATTCACTATGACCATCAACACTCACTTCATTGATTCTGACTAGCGTCTGTAGTAATGAAATCGTCTCAGTAATGGTATCATTATTCTGTATACATTCTACATTCAGAGCACGTGGTGAGGCAGGACCAAGACCAAACTGAGCAGAGTTCAGTGGTTCACAGCATTCACAGCGGCTTATACTATAATCTACTGGCTGAAATAATGGATTTTCATTTATCTGGTGTTGACCTGGTAGTAACATCTCTATAAGGTCCAAATCTGGTGGGTCATTGGTACCATATACGATAGCATCAATCAGACGAAATGAGTTGACTGGAGTATCATCTGGATACCTGTTAGGAGGTGCCAGATGAAGAGCAATGGCATCTGGTCCATTTTGGATAAATCCTTGTTTATTGAAAGATATTCTTATCTCGGCATCCAGTGTGTTATTGACATCTCCCGAAATAATAAAAAATCCATTTTCATCGGTAGAATATCCTGTGCAATCGATTGTAAGATAAGACTTGTCATTCTTACCATTATACAAAACAATCAGAATACCATCTAACGACTGATGACCATCTCCACCATCAAACAACTCAATGAACTCAAAGTAGTGTATTCTTGATCTAGACTGAGCAATGTTAATCTCATTTAACAATATTCGAGGCAATGTACAATTATTATCAGCACCTGGGGTAATCGTTGTGATGGTGAAGGAACTAGTTATTCGAGGTCTCCAACCATGGCAACGACTTAAAGAATTTGAACCTTCTACAAAGTCAGGATTTTCCATGATGACATCCTGACCTGGAGTGAGAATGTAAATCAATGAACGGTCACGATGGTATTGCTCATTTGATGAATAAACAACGGCATCCACAAGGTTCTCATTAGTAACACGAGTACCTATTTGCATACTGCCAAGATCGGTGTAATATAAAGCGACCGCATTGAGGCCAACTCTGTGGATAATGCTTGGTGGTAACTCAATATCTGGCACCCAAGGAGCCGGTCTGGTACCAATAACAATATAACCATTATCATCTGTAGTATGTCCAGTCAAATCTAAGCTGTAGTATACATTACCAGAGAAGCCATCTATCAATGTTAATATCAATCTGTCTAATATGATATTACCTGATCCACCATCATACAGTTCGATATATTGACTTTCGGCATCAATGTCAATTTCATTTATGACTATATGAGGTGATAATGGATCCAATGTGACATGTGTGGGTAAACCATTGCATATATTACCTAAACCAGGTGTTGCAGCACTTAATATAAACTGGGAAAGTTTTAATGGGTCATTACCAAGGCAACGACTAAAACTCTCATGCAGATGAGATACACTTTTATTAAGAGCATCCTGACCAGGCGCGAAAATATCTGTCAAAGTCTGGTCTTCGTAATAATAATAATCATTACTGAAATAGACTACAGCATCAACTAGACTGAGATTGATGGCCGTCGTGCTAATGTTAAAATTGGAGGTGTTACCAAAGTAAAGTGCTACAGCATTACCACCATTTTTTAAATCAATTTCCCCAAAATTTGAATGGCTACCAGCTGGTCCAATTACGTAAAACCCTTTCTGAGCAATGACATCTTCAGTTGCAAAGGTGATAACATTATAAGCCATGTCGCCATGGTAAAGTACAATTGTAAAGTTTTTTAAAGGCACTGATTGGCTGGCAGTATTATAAAGTTCAATGAACTGTGCATCTATTGCGTCCATTTTCAACTCATTTATCAGTACAGTGGCATCACACATGGCAACAATGAACACCAACAATATCATATACTGAAGATCCATTTCACATGGTACGAGATTCAACAATCTGAAAAATCAAAAACCAAAGAAAATACACATTAATAACAACCAGCTTCTCGGCTGAGATAGCTCCGCTTTTAGTAATGCACATTTCAATTAAAGAATTGAAGATATCACGAAATTAACAAGTCTGAGAGAGGTCCACATGTAGTACCTATATATGTAATATCAAAGCAATTAGACTTGTGGTTATTAACAAGAAATTGAAAATATCACTTTTTACCGAATAATGACAATAATATTCAGGTACATATACACCAAGTATCAAAGCAATAAGAATTGTAGTTTTCAAGTTGAAAAGTTAAAAGTTGACACGGACGACTACAGACAATCACTCGTTATGATAATCTCTGCTTGACAAAGTCAACAGCGGAACTAAAAAGAGAATATTGTTGAATCCTATCTTAAAGACAAGATTTAATAGCCTGGTTCAAACATAACTTTTGTATCCATGGAATGTCTGATTTTGTTTTCAACTTTTATATATTTGTTTATATCATTCTATTGTTCTCAGTGGGAAAAAATATTTGTATAGTACCCTGCTATTTCAATTTTCAACCAGTAATAAACAGATTTGAATACCACATCAACTTTTGTTAATCATTGTTCAATGAATAATTACGTGTATTTGGTCCCAAAATTAATGAATCAAAATGTCAAAATGTTGCACAAACATTTTAATGAAAACCATTATTGTATTCAAACTGATATAAATCACAAAAAAATTTTACATTCTCATTTCAGTAAACAGTTTTAATCTGTTCAACATTTGATACTTTCTAATTTTGTCATTAATTTTTGACAAATGAACAGAATTTCCTATTGGCTACACAATTACAGCAAGTCTCAGAAATATTGGGGCAGCCAATTTGCAAACTCGCTAGCATATTGGCTAACTGCTTTGGTTTTGTCTAAACTGTTGGCTTTCGAATATCGCTGTCGCCGCCTGTTGGTCACGCCCACTCTGGAATAATCTATGTAACAGTAGAGGACGGCAAGTCTTACAGTTGGATAGCGATTTCACATTCAAATATACCAGGAAAAGTGTTCTATGTTCTTCGTGTAATTCGGTGTTCTGATACAAGGGATTGCCCAAAAAACGATGAATGAGGTAGATTTTTTTTTAACCATTGGCTTAATGTTACCCCTATTTTCTCCCTGATTTTTAGGAAATTTTTTCAACTTTTCTCTTTATTTAGTTCCATCCAGTGTTCACGACGGCCACTCAATATAGTAAATATCTCTAGATTAGCCTTAATCACATTCATCTTATAGCTTGTACGCCAGCTGACTGTGGCCATTCTTCAGGCTGACCAGGGAAACTACTTTTTACGTTATCACGCCTTGCGTAACAAAAGAAACTCATTCAGGGGAATCCAGATATAACATTTTATGTCCCCTTATGCAGTATGGACTCGGCTCAGAGAGGAGGCAACCATAAGTCGGCGCCAGCGAGATTCGAAAACCAACTCTTCAGTCAAAACCCAAGCAGTCAGCCAATTCGCTAGCGAGTTTGCAAATTGGCTGCCCCAATACTCCTGAGAATTGCT